GGAAATGAACACCCCTACTCCATTGGTTCAAACTAATAGATATGTCATTATATCTTATATTAGGAACCATTCTAGCAAAAGTTATCCTTTTTACTTCAGCTGGATGTTCTGCTATAGACACCAATAGGTGACCAGGTAGATCACTCTCCATAGTACTTTGTACAGACTTTACATTATTCTCTTAGCTGTATACAAACATGAACATATCAGATTTCTTTTTAAAAGAATGACATTTGAGGATTAGGACAGGTATCAGAACCCCTCTTTCCAAAGGAATTAGATAGGGACTCAATTTGCTGTTTTCTTTTTATTTTTAAAATTATTTGTATTAGTGTATATTAATTGTACAAAGTGAGAGTTTCATTGTGATATTTCGGCACATGCATACAATGTACTTTGATCATATTTTCCACCTCTATTACTGTTTCTTATTCCCCATTCCCTTAACCCTCCTTTTAAAAACTTTCCTACAAATTTCCCTTGCCCTCTTCATTTCCCCCAAATTGTGCCCTTTTTATATGCATGTACACATACGCATACACATTCCACTTAGAGAAATTGCTGTGTCTTTCTGAGTTGGAATTACTTAGCTTAACATAATGATCTTAGTTCCACTCATTTTCCTGTGAATACATAATTCATTCTTTATAGCTGAATAATACTCCATTGTGTACACAAACCACATTTTCTTTATCCATTCATCTGTTGGTGGATACCTAGGCTGATTCCATGACTTGGCTTTTGTGAACACTACTACAGTAAAACATGAATCAACAGGTATAGAGAATTTGTGATTAGAATTAATCCCAGTTAAATTCTGCTGTAAGTCTAGAATATCTTTCAGAGCTAAAAGATAATATAACAAAAAAACCCAATGTGAATGAATGCAGTAACCTGTTTGTGTGTATTACACACTGGAGTAAATAAAATATGAGATTGGTGACACATTTTTCTTTCATATTATTTATGTGGCTGTCAGAAATGGGTGTTGTTCACATTTTGTTTCTGTTGGATGCCATGGTCTAGATTCTGCAAGCATTTCAACATGATGATATAGTACACAGGGTAGAAATTCAATAAACATATTTGATAGCTTTGATTTAAAGATAATGACCACTGCCATCAAAAGAACAGAAGAAAACCCCCAGTTTTCACCTCTAATTAGGCCAATAAAGTTTTTTATTCTCTTTTACTCAAGAGAAAAAGTAACACAGTTTAGATATACTTGGGAAAATGTTGTGTAACTACATATGATTGGCTGTAGCTCAAATCTTTTATTTACCCCTGTGGTTTTCAGAGGAACACATTGCTTTTCAGATTGCCTACCTGAACATGTAGGGTTGTAATCAAGACTTCCCAAACTAGGACCGGAGTCAGGAACATATCCAGACATAAGAGCTACAGTTACTCCTTGTGTACATATGCTCTGTTCTGTAGTCTCTGTTGCCTGGCCACCCAGGTACCACGAGGGAATAGAAACATTATTTGGTAACTGCAGCAAAGCATGTTGGTACTTGACTTGATATAACCCAACTGTACCTCCTTAGATGAATGTCAAGATGTAATTAGAGTTTATTTTCTGCATTTCTGTCTCTTGTACTCTGTAATTTTTTTTTCATTTCTGGCTGCTTGGAATTGACCACTTAAATGCTCTTCCCCCCTGCCGGGCATCCACCCTCCCCCTTTAATATTCCACCAACAAGGCATGTTGAACATGAGTTAAGTGCGTTTACACTTTGCCTTAATAGAAAAGTAACCTTTCAGATAGCAGTGGACAGCCAGTGAGAAGGAGTCATGGTGTTTAGTATCTTGTGAAAGCTTTGGGGAGTGGGTCACCATGGAGACACTTTCTGTTCTGCTTTCATGTGACAGGCCTGATTTGCCCCCAGTACTGAAAATAAACAACGCATAAAAATTCATTCCTTACAGTGCAGTCTAGTACTGCTATATAAGCTAAGTGTGTGTGTGTGTGTGTGTGTGTGTGTGTGTGTGTGTTTTCCTTTTCTTACGAAAGTTGAAAGAATGCCTTTTCTCTGGGCCTTAGAATCTGGAAAGTAGTTTGATATTGATACTGATTATATAAATCTTAGAAACAATTGGAGGAGTAGTGTCTGCTATACAAAGTGGAGACCCTGGGGTGTTTTATTTTTATCATGAATGCAGTATAAAGTATAGTTAAGTATTATAAAATTATTGAAGAAAGACGAAGAAGAATCTCCTGAAAAACTAAATCTTTGAATGACTAAGTTATTGTAGATATTAGTAGATAAATGAACCTGAGTGTAGGTGGAGAGGGACAGCATCTGATGAGACACCATTAAAAAATGGTGGAATTGCCCTGGGCACAACATCTACATTTTCCTTCAAATAGCCAGACACTAGGATTTGTTTTTTTCCTCTAGAGTTTTGTAAGATTTCCATTGTCTTGAGCAAGGTGTGCATGATTGATAAATACAATGAATTGCTGTCTTCCCCACATAAAGGCAGGCAGAATTTTTGTGTTACAATTTTACCTTACTAACATTTGCTGAATTTGCAAAGTGACAATGTATTAAGTGATTTTTTGATTGGCAGTTTTTTAAGATGTCATCTATACTTAAAAAGCGCAGAATAACCGAAATCTCTAAAACCTGAATACGCCAGGTAATTTTCTTTTATTTTAGCCAAATGGCTGTGTGTGTGCCCAAATGGACAGTAAACTTGGATGTCAGAAACAGTAATATTTAAAGATAACACAGCCAAGAAAATATTTGGTTAAAGTTCTTTCTGAGTGTACACACATTTAAAATGTACATCAGTTATAATACAAAGTGGTGATAGAAGTTACTATATTTCATGTATTTCTAAGATTTCTTTTTCATCTCTAAAATTAAGATGCCTCTTAGCATCTGTGGTGTCTTTAAGTTGTCATCAGCCAGGTGGCAGTCATGACATAATTGTGATTGCATGTTCAGATTAGGCATAACTGTTCATATTGTTGTGGCTTCAATTAAGATGGGTTTATGTATAATTGCCCATAAACTGCATTTGATAATACTGTTCAGTTAGAGCGTGTGTGTATTTATATACATACATGGGAATGAGCAGCATGATGCATGACACGTATAAGTCTAAAAGCTATTTCAGTAAGTACAAAGTGATAAAAAGCATTGTGTCATAGTTTAGTTGCTAGTCTCTTTACTTAGGTAGTGTCACATAATAATAGAACCTCTTTTTTTTTTTCTTTAATTATTCATATGTGCATACAAGGCTTGGTTCATTTCTCCCCCCTGCCCCCACCCCCTCCCTTACCACCCACTCCGCCCCTCCCTCTCCTCCCCAATACCCAGCAGAAACTATTTTGCCCTTATTTCTAATTTTGTTGTAGAGAGAGTATAAGTAATAATAGGAAGGAACAAGGGTTTTTGCTGGTTAAGATAAGGATAGCTATACAGGGCATTGACTCACATTGATTTCCTGTGCGTGGGTGTTACCTTCTAGGTTAATTGTTTTTGATCTCACCTTTCTCTAGTACCTGTTCCCCTTTTCCTATTGGCCTCAGTTGCTTTAAGGTATCTGCTTTAGTTTCTCTGCGTTAAGGGCAACAAATGCTAGCTAGTTTTTTAGGTGTCTTACCTATCCTCTTAATAATTGCTGGTGACTTGGAGGCGAAGAAATCCAGTCTATAAGACACAGTGCCCTTACACAGTGAATGGAATTTCTGCTCTTCTCTACCTATGGCTATGTTTTCCATTTCTTCATCTCACTACAAACTGTGTTGTGATCTCTTGTGTTGCCACTGTGGTTGTGGTGCATCCAGTGATCCCTTGTGCCTACTCAGCAATCATGCATGTTCTTTTGCTGTGATCCACATGGTGTGTAGGGAGGAAACAGGAGCATCGAAAAGACAAATGTCAGTGTTGAAGTAGATTTCTGGATTAAAAGAATAGAGTAAGCCATTAGACTCCCACATGTCTATAAGTTTTGACTCTGGCCTAATTCAGACCCTAGGCAATTGAGCTAACCAACTTCTGACACAGAAATGTAAGCAAAGTTCAAAGACACCAGGTTCTAGCCAAATCAAAGCAATACTCTCAAACCAAAGGGTCACATGTGCTTTGTGATTCTACACTTTCTCTTATTTCTTGTGTTTGTTGTAGCGTCTTGGGCTAGGTCTCTCCTCTGAAAGTAGATATTAATGAGAGTTGCCAAATTATTCCTGTCTGGTCTGTGCTTGGATATTAAGTTATTTGAGGTGTGTGTTCATCAGGAAAAGATTATCATTTCCAAGAGCAATACTACATCTGAGAAGAAAGACTTTTGAGGCTAATCTCCAGTTTCAAGAAAAGACACTAGAGAAAAAGCAGTCTAATACAATTCTGCTTTAGTTTATTATTGTTTTCAAGTCCAAGTGCATATTTTGCAAATAGAAAATTTTATACTCTTTATGAGCACATTTGCTCATTATATTTTTAGAAAATACATTTATTTTGTATGCAAAGCCCATCCAACTCCATTTTATTAATTCATTTCCAGTCATAACTCTCTTGTCACATCTATATCTACAATTTATATTTCCATGTTGAAATTCAGATTATTCAGATTATTGGTTATTTTGACTTTTAATTTTGTTGGGGATTTTGGCAAAAAACACGTATGTGAATTTTTTTCTGGATTTTATATTTCATTTGTCTTTTGGTTGTCTCGTTTGTTTCGATACTTCATCTTTAGCTCATATTCAGTATTATTTTCTATGTCTTCTACTTTTCTTCCATTGCCCCAAATTCATTTCTATAATTTGGAGATTCCTTATTATAAATAGCCCAGAAAATCTATCTCCAATGAGGAGTCTCTGCAGGATACCTTGTGTGAGTAAAATGGCTTGTTTGATATGAGAAGCTGAGTATGCTTAATTATTCTACATCTGCTCTGTCAATTTTTCATACTTAACTAAAGCATTTTGATTTCAGTGCTATATTGGAATTATTTCAGCTTTTGTAACATATAGATATGGTGCAGATTCTCTGTGGGAAAATCAGGTTTCATAGAAAGGTTTTCTGTATGTTCTTTGTATGTTCTCCTTTTCTACTCATCCTGATGCCCCAAGAGAGCTAAAGAACTGTGTGAAAATGCATTAATTTTATATGTCAAACATAAGTCACGTATTTTTTGAGACTCTTTAAAAGTTTTTATCTTACACTTATTAAGGGCCTTAAAAGCACTTTTTGGTGTTCTTTATCAAGATTCAGTGTGCTTGCTGTGATGGCTAATCTTGATTGACCACAACATATGACTGGGAGATGGCTAGAAGGTTAGTAAAGCAGACCTCTAGTGTGTTGTTTTTGAGGCCATTTCCAGAGATGATTATGCCAATAAGGTGTCTGACTAATCAGTGGTTTAACCACCAAGGTTCAAAATTTGAATAGACTATTGGCAGTTTGTAGAACTGCGAAAGGTTAGGACTTCATTGGAAAATATGTTTGGGGAAATGCCTTTGAAGGTATATCTTGACCCTGGCCCCTTCTTTAATTTTTCTGCTTCTAGCTACCAAGAGGTGAGCAGTTTTCATCTGCCACATCCTTCCACCATGAGAGAACGCCTCACCTCACCAGCCCAGAAACACGGGCCAACCACCTCGGACTGAAACCTCTGAAAAGGTGAGCTGAAATAACCCTTTTCTCTTCTTAAATTCTTTCTCTCAAGTATTTGTCACAGCGACAATGCATCTAACATATGTGCCTTAAGTAGTTTTGTTTTGGAGAGTGACATTATTTGATTTTGTAAACAATTCTTAACTCTTATTCCCAGCTTTCTTCCTATTCCCCTTGGCTTCTGTTACTTGCAGTATTTTTACTTGTGTCGGGGACTATAATATGAACATTCTGTTCTGCCAGCGTGCTTCCTCCATTGTGAGTCTTAGTTCTGTATATTAATGGATTCGATGTTTATTCCAAATCCTTACACGCCTCTCCATTTTGAAGCCTTATTTTTGGTCTTTGCAGATAGGCTGGGTTTCAATCTGGAATTATCCAGAGCCTTGTCAAGTGAACTGTGTGTGTCAACATACAGTTCTGTGTTCTTCATGCTGTGTTTATACTTGAAACTTTCTTTCTCCTATAACTTTGTGGTTGTTTCATTGGCTTATTCACTCAGTGTGTCAGTGGAAGCTGATAGCCAAGCTGATTTTTCCCCTTTAATAAAGATTCATTTTAATATTAAAATTTTATTTCTTTACATTTTAGGCTTAGCAACTTAGCCAAGAAATGTCTTCATATAACCAATATAGTCTATAAAGTCTATAAGCTCAATTTTTTATTTTAGTAAGGGTTTCTCCACCATGTTTCTTAATATCTTGTGCTCCTTTCAGTTGTCTTCTACGAGATTGTATTTGTATTCTATTACCTGTTTCTCTTTAATTACTTCAATTTTGGTACTTTTTCTTCCTTGCATTTATTATTGCTTTACAGGTCTTTTTGTCTTTGCTTCATCTAGGTGTTCAGTAGTTATTAACTATTTGTTCCCTAAATTGCTCTGTAACCTTTGGGAAATCACCCAATTTCTCCAACTTTGGCATAGAAATGAAGTTTTTCTTTTAATTGGACTCCATACATTTTGGTTTTCTTTTAATTACATTAAAAGTGCATGACCAATTTTGATAGGATATAGGATACAATTAAAAATTTCTAAATAAATACATTGAAAAACATTTTCCATAGGAGCATATGCATCCTGTAATATTCAATAAAATTAGGCATCATGGTAATAATAGCATAATGTGCTTAGATTGACAAAGTAATCTCAGTTCCCAAAGGCAGTGTGTAGACACAAAAATAAACAAATAAAGCATAACAGCAACAAAATAGTACTGAAAATACTGACCCTTTTTGTGAGGACTTAGTCCTCAGTACACACAAAAACTGTATGGTCTTGTGTGTTGAGCACAGCTTCTGTCTCCTTTGCTGTGTCTTATCCCTCTTGACCTTTGAATACTGTTTCAACCTGTCTGCCTTCTACTGTATGTTCTCCTTAGGAAGTTTCCAGTTATGTCGTTTTCAAAACCATCTATCTGTTTCAGAATCACAAACTTATATCTTCATCCTTGACCCCTTATCACTGCTTCATATCTTTACATCCAGCTGCCAGTTACCATTTCCATTTAATGTCTAATAGATATCTCAAATCTAACATGGTCAAAACAAAGCTATTGGTTTCTTCTTTGTTCACCCAATCCCTTCTCCCAAGTTTTTTAGTCCATCTCAAATGACAGTAGTTGGCCCACCTAGCTACTCAAGCCACAAATTTTGGAATCATTCTTGATTCTCCATTTCTTTTATCCCCCTACATCTAATCATTAGCCAGAGCTAATCAATTAGCTAGAACTATTGTTTTCTGCCTTCCAAATAAATCCTGATCCAACCGTTTTTGTCCATTTAACTGCTATCTCACTACTGCAAGCCATCATCCTCTCTCCTGTAACCCCTGGTGTTGCCACCTAGTGGTTTCCCCACTCCTGTTCTCTTCTCCCACTTATTAAAATCCATTTTATAGACAGTAGGGCAAATAATTTTTAAAGAATCAGTTAGCTCTTACTTTTGCATTTATAACTGTCAAATGAGTGCATGAGTAAATCTAACTTTTGTTAATTGCAGATATTATCACTAGAATAAATCTAAATCTGAGCTGTGACTTACAAGACCCTGAACCATCTTGTGCATCTCATTTTGAAGTCTTCTTGTAGCTTCTCTCTTGTCCTTCAGCCCCTTAATGGTACTCAAGCTACATGGGCCTCTGCAAATTCCTTAGAAATATGAATGTTTCCATTCCCAACCTTGCCATTTGCTTCTCCCTTCTCTGTTTTCTGCTAGCTTTTTGCCTGCCCTGTCCTGATTCTCTGTATAGTTGACCACTGATATCAGGCCTCCACTCAGTGCTACCTCCTTGATCACTCAGTCTGAAAGGTCACGTCCCCACACCCCCAAACAGGCACATGATCCAACCTTAGATTAGATCTAGTATCATTTTTGGAATTATCTTGTATGTGTTTAGTTCTTGTTAACACCACTCTAATTCCTAAAACATAATAGGTGCTCTATTAATAAATGAGAAGGATTGAATTGAAGAAATGAATGCATGAGACTTTAAAATGTATACTTATTCTTTTAAAGGAGCCTAACTCTAACCAGGGAAAGTTTTATGGACATTCAGAGAAATAAAGGAAGAAAATGGGAAATAGCTCTTATTTCTTTGGCCATACTGGGGATTGGCTTCAGGGCCTGGCAGTGGCTAGGCAGGTACTGTACCACGTGAGCCATTTCCCAGCTGGTTATTTCTGAGACAGAGTCTTGCTTTAAGCCCAGGCCTAGATTGTGATCCTCCTACTGTGCTTCCCTGCTTAGCTGAGATGACAGGCACTCATCACTGTCCCCAGCCACTGGTTAAGATGGAGACTACAAACTCCACCTGAGCTAGTCTTGAACTACTGTTCTCCCAGTCCCTGCCTCTCAAGTACTTAGGATTATAGACTTGGGCCACTGTGCCTACCTGAAAATAGCTCTTGACATTTAACCTTTTCCTCTTTGTAGGGTTGGTTAAACATAGCTTGCTGAGGACATAGAACATGGATAAACAAGAAAGTATTAATTTTTACACATCTAGCGAATCCCTTTTCATTACTTTTATAAAAGTAGGAGTATAATAGCCACTTAAAATTTTTCTTAAAAAAGAACCAAAGTCTCTAGTCCTATTACTCACACAGATCTCAGCCTTTGTCCACATTTTTTGATACAATTGTAATTTTGTCAACCTATACTCTTTATATACAGTAGAAATTTCAGGAAGTTTCTGTTTAGTGTTATTAGTCCATTGTCATGGCAGCCATCCTGGGCATGTGCACTAGAATAATAAAGTGATTTATTTAGTACATAGAGAAAAAAACCATTGAGCAGCCCACCTCCCCACCTGCAGGTCACCATAGAGAGTATCTTTTCAGAATAGTATGTGCAGGTTAAAGTTTGGACCTTAAAATCTATGTCATAACTAGCACAACACCACAGTCACAACAACATGTGGTGTTGACTTTATCATTAAAGGTATCATTTATTTTTCTAACAAAATATGGCTTCTCTTTAAAAACTGAAAGTGCAATGGACAAATAAATGCTGTATTAACATACTCTGCACATTTTAGGAAAATGTAGACAGAGTGAGATCTGACAAGTTATCTCCATGCAGTTTGTCCTGGGTCTGCCTTACCAGAATGGTGGGATAAGCCATCTAAGAAATATGTCACAGCTTAAAGTGGATTTCACTTCCAAAAGTGGATTAGTTCAGTGCTAAAAGAGCATAGCAAGTATTGAAGAAATCTAACGAAATAAAACATTTCGGTACCTGTAGCCTGGGGAGTGATTGTCAAGTGGAAGTACCTATAGAAGTTTCTGCCTTGCATCTAGCAGATATAGCTGTGTTCTTTATTATGTGAACAGAGGTGCTGCTTTGTGATGAGAAGTCTGCGTAGTTTCCAGGTTGTGTGGAAGCCAGTTTGTTTGGCACTACTACCTCTTCAGCCAGACTACACTTTTCAGAGAGCTTGGGATCCTAGGGAAGGAAGAGGAAAGAAGTTAAATGGAGCATGTTTCCTGAGAGCAGTCATTCCAGTCCATTGAACGATGCCCAGGGTGAAGTAGAGGTCACCTGCCCATCCTCTGTAAAACACTGTTTCTCTACTTAAGTCCTTTTAAGCTGGTGCAGTCTATAAAATTTTGTTGCTGATATAAATATCTAATTTGGAAAAATTCCGCTGTGCTGTGTATTCTTTTGGTACTAAAAGTCTAAATGGGAAACCAGACAAATGTTTATTAGCTTCCTTGGAAGTTCAACAATAAAACTTCCTGAAACTGCCTACGTGGGCATGAATGCTTTTTAGAACTGCAAGCTACTCTCTACAATTCCTAGTAAAAGACAAAATAATTTGCTGTGTCAGAAAGAGAATTGTTTGGATAATATATTGCCATAAGCATATGGAGACTTTCAGAAATCTGGCCTTTTGCTTGAGTGTTTCATACCTTGAAGCAGTTTAGGAACAAAATAGTTACAGCTCTGCGCCAGCGTGTGGAAAGAGGGAACGGAAAGTGGCTGCCATTGCAGTGGTGAGTGAGTGTCCCGGAACTGGAAGATTGAAAGGCTTCTGAAACGCCTTGATTTCTGAACACCTTTATCTGAAATGCCTGTGACTTTCCAAAGAGAATAATTTTCTACAAAGCTGCAGATTCTATTCAGATATCTGCTCTGCAGTTGGGATTGATTGAAGAAAAAACTTTTTCAGGTCTTTTTTACCATGCCCTTCTTTCCTGAGCTTACTCTTCTCTCTTCAATTTGGCTGAATCCTGAAAACCCGAGGGCTGTGTTTCCCTTAGTTGTTCTGCTGAATTTTCACCTGATGCCTTCTGTCATCACTTGGCCTTGTAGAATGTCACACTACAAGAAACTAATGGAAATTTCCTGCCCAAGGGAATTACTGAAGCTGATATTCACATTGTTTTTATTTTTTAGTGAATTTTAAGAACTAAAAACTGTGTTTTCTTCTTAGTACCAAGAAATAATGAAATTCTGGGAGTGCATCGTCTGAAGTAACTTTGGAATGAATAAACCCAAATAAACAATGATCAGATAAGACAGCTGTAAGGCTGATTTGGGGGCTTTGAACTAGTGATTGCATTTCTGCTTTAACCACTAAGGTACTAAAATTAATTTCAGTTATGTATTTCTTGCTTTTGTGTTTAGTTTTATCGGAATCTGAAGCGATTGCTAAAGAGCTGGAAAGCAGTGTCAAAAACTGGGTAGGTTATGTAATTCTAATTTGTTTTCACAGTGTGAGGTTTTTAGTAGATTAATAAGCTAGTGGAAGAAGAAGTAATGGGTTTATGATCTAGAGATCATAGAGACACTATTAAAATTGTAAATGAAAAGCTTAGCACGTGGCTGTGATAAAAAATAAAAACAAAAACTGGAAGGAAAAAAACCAACAAAACAAACTCTAAGGATGCCTGGTTTGTTTAGAAACATGGACAGGAAGTAAGGTTAATGAGAAGTGAGCTATAATCTTTTTATATTCTAGAATATTCTCTCCCTGTTTTTAGTTCTTGCCATGGTGGTGCTAGGAGCTAGATGCTCTTGTTCTCCTATATAGTTCTACATAGTCTTTTTGTTTTTTCTTTTAATTTCCAGTTGATAGTGATGTACATTTGGATAGATTAGGCCTGGTTTTCTAAGGAAAGTAGAAAGCAAGTCTGATAGCTCAATCTAATTGGGGAATCACTATTCTAAATTCTGAAGGACTATTTACCACCAGGCAGGGCATCTGAGGGCACTGCGTTTCAAGTTCTCTGCTATCTCCTTTCCCTTTCCTCCACTCAGTTGTCCCTCTGTGCACAGAGGTGTAGCAACATTGGACAGTAACTCAAAGGCTATCTGTGCAGTGAACCAAGATTAATGAGAATTAAAGTGCCTGACTGATTGTATGCTCTCCAAATCTAAAGAAAAAGGACTTTTATTAAAGTTGTAGCTATAAAGATTTGGGAATATTTCACTTTAAATGTTAACATAGTGTACTGAAAGGAGGGAAGAACTGTAATAAAGAAGAATATATCTGGTCAACATATCTGGTTGACATTTCTGGGAATGTCACCCAAAGGAGTGCTGCGGCAATCCATTCCTCAGATTAAGGACATGGAGACTAGGAGTCTGCTGCAACACAAAAGCAGGGAAAAGGACAGCATCAGAAGTGATTTAGAATAAATAAACTGTTCTTTGAAGATGTCGTTAGAGAAAAGCTATTGCAAAGTATGATAGTTACAGAAACTTTCTCAACAAATCAAGATTTGAGCGATATCACTCCTAGAGTTCTTAAAGGATTTTGAGCATAATGTTCTCCAGCTTTAGCAATTATAGATAACACGAAAAAATATTTTGCTTGTTCCAATTGACCCTATTTCAAAAAGACATCAACACAGCCCAGAAGCCAAGGAGGAAACAGTCACAGCCACGAGAATCAGACTAACATTTGAGGGGAGGTGGATTATTCTGCCAATAGGGTGGGTATAGAAGGACCTTTACAGGATAGGCCAGAGTGTGGGGCCAGTGTGGAAGTGTGGGAAGCCACAGAGGCACCTCCATCCCTCAAAACACATCACGCCTGCATTCACAAACATTATTCTTTTTTTTTTTCATTTTTCTTTTATTATTCATATGTGCATACAAGGCTTGGTTCATTTCTCCCCCTGCCCCACCCCCTCCCTTACCACCCACTGCCCCCTCCCTCTCCCCCCCAATACCCAGCAGAAACTATTTTGCCCTTATTTCTAATTTTGTTGTAGAGAGAGTATAAGCAATAATAGGAAGGAACAAGGGTTTTTGCTGGTTGAGATAAGGATAGCTATACAGGGCATTGACTCACATTGATTTCCTGTGCGTGGGTGTTACCTTCTAGGTTAATTCTTTTTGATCTAACCTTTTCTCTAGTCCTGTTCCCCTTTTCCTATTGGCCTCAGTTGCTTTAAGGTATCTGCTTTAGTTTCTCTGCGTTAAGGGCAACAAATGCTAGCTAGTTTTTTAGGTGTCTTACCTATCCTCACCCCTCCCTTGTGTGCTCTCGCTTTTATCATGTGCTCAAGTCCAATCCCCTTGTTGTGTTTGCCCTTGATCTAATGTCCACATATGAGGGAGAACATACGATTTTTGGTCTTTTGGCCAGGCTAACCTCACTCAGAATGATGTTCTCCAATTCCATCCATTTACCAGCGAATGATAACATTTCGTTCTTCTTCATGGCTGCATAAAATTCCATTGTGTATAGATACCACATTTTCTTAATCCATTCGTCAGTGTGGGGCATCTTGGCTGTTTCCATAACTTGGCTATTGTGAATAGTGCCGCAATAAACATGGATGTGGACAAACATTATTCTTGAATAATGAACAAAGTATCTCATTCTACAGCAGTGCCTGCATGGTGTGCTCATGGCATGAGAAGAGTACTAGAGATGCATCCACTATGGTTTCTTTATAGCTCTAGTTTTGGTGAAAATATTCTACATAAAAGGTTTTACTTGTTTTTGTCCATAAAAAAAGTTTGAATTTTACTACATTATTTTAAAGTTAGGAATATACTTTGACTAGTAGCAACTGAAAACTTTATTAAAAAAAAACAGCAGGGGTATGGAGGGTGGCTAAAACTTGTACAGCACTCACTTCTTCGTTTCTAGGTGTCAGTCCAAAGTATTACATGTAGATTAAGTCATTGGATCCTCACAGCACCCTATAACAAAGTGATTTTTATTACTCTCCTTTTACAGATGAGAACCAGGCCTAGAAAGGTGAAGTGTTTGCACAAGCTAGCTGCAGAGCAGGGATACAAAATGAGCAGCCTGGCTTCAGATTTGTTCCTAACCACTATGCTAGCCTCTCCTAGTTGACGACTGATTGGACTCTACATTGGAAATATTTCCTAATTGTAATTCATGATTGACTGATTTATAAATGTGCTGTCCACTATAGATGCAATCGTTCTAAGCAAGCACAAATCGACGATAGCAATGTACTAAGAGTTCTTCAGCTTTCATGTTTCCCAGTAGCAAGCAGAGGGAGTGAAATGTGTGACATCTCCACTCTTTAATTATTGAAAGTTGTTTCTTGCACAAATGAAGGGCTTTGTGATAGATTAGCTGCTTGCCAGGACTGTGTGGTAGAAAGATATCCATGTGGCCAGTAAGAGCAACAAGCCAGTCACTGCTTGGCTGAAAACTTCTAGAGAAGCAGTTTTAGAGAGTGTGTCCATCTGCCAGAGTTGTCCTTTGACTCCTGTCCAACTTTTCACCACCCACCTGCATTTCCCTTAGTGTTCTGCTCTTTGGCAAGCTTCCCCCCCCCCTTTGCTACCAAGACTGGTTGGAAATCAAATAAGGGCTTGTTTGCTTATAGAAAGAAGAAAAGTTAAAATAAACTAGCCTGAAATCCCCTTGCCAAAAAGAGAAAAAACATCTGGGAACGTGTCAGGAGTCCTCACTGCATAAATATTTCCATTTCGGTAACGCCATCCAATCTTTGTTTCACATTCAAACTACTTAGAAACACTTGCCCCTTTCCAGTCTTCTGACTAATGTTCTTTAGGAACTTCTGGCAAAGGCAGTATGAAGTGATTTTTCCTTTATGTTATGAAATAACTTCCAAGCAAATCAGAAAATTGTTTGTTGATTTCTTCTCCCTACCCTGTTAATGTTGGGGAGGAATGGAAATTATAAAATTTATTTCTACAGAATATTTGCAGATTATAAAATGCTTTCAAAACCCGCTGTGTGGGCCAAGTATGATGGTATATACTTGTAATCCTAAAGGGCTCTGGTTCAAGTAGTAAAGCACTTGCCCAGCAAGCATGAGGGCATGAGGCCCAGTGTTCAGTCTCCAGTACTAAAAAAAAAAAATACAAAATCCTTGTATAAACTTACTCAGTATTTTCCAAATTCAATTAGTTAAGTGATTACTACTGTTTCAGTTTATCTATATCTATACTCTGTTAATCTTTAATTAATTTTTTTAAAATTTTGTGGATCGGTACTGGGATTTGAACTCAAGGCCTCACATTTGCTAGACAAGTGCTTTACCACTTGAGCCACACCCCCAGCTCTTCTTATTAATCTTTAAAAGTGAAATTGCTGATTTCTGAGAAATGACTCAGATATTCTATAGAGTTGAGAATGACCTGACTGTAGAAATGCCAAGGTCTTTGTTCTTTGTACCTCCATGGGACAAAACAGCTGTAAGACTGGACAAGGCAGAGGCTTCCCTTCCCCCATCAGACTACAGTTTCTCGTGGGAAATTCATCTCATTGGTGTTTTCTGACCACTGTTACTTTACTTGCTTTGCCTCTGTAATTGCTTGTGTCTTAAATGGAATTCATCTGTGGTTTCAGAAGTAATGGTAGGAAATGTTCCGGTCCTCAGAACAGGATCCCTGTGTCCAACTGTTTACAGAGTGCTTTGTGTGAAGGCATCGCCTAGTGAACAATAGACAGACTCTTAAGAGACTGGTATCTAAGTCACGTTTTGTACATAATAAATGAAAGTACATTTAGGAGAATTAACAATTTAGTGGACTTCTATTGTGAATTCACCTGTAAGGTAAATTCTTGCCTGACCAGTTTCATGTCTTTACGTGTCATGTGTTTGAATGTGGGATGTATTGTGGCTAGTATTTATCAAATTGAATATAATACCCGGAACATGGAACTGAGCTACTTTGACACAGTTAAATCCTATTTCTGTCTTTTTAAAAATTTTATTAGCATATAATGGTTATACAGGGGATACATTGTAATATTTACATACGTCTTACAATATATTTAGTTGGATTTACCCCCTCAATTGTTCTCTTCCCCCTCTCCCTTCTCAGAACAATTTCAACAGGTTTCATTCTTCTATTTTCATATATGGATACAAAATCATCCACTCTATTTACCCTCACTTCCCTTTTACTTGTATTCACCCACCTCATACTGGTACCTACCTCCCCAGAAAAGATTTATTTTTCCCTCCTGCCCTTCATTTTTTTAAGTGTATATTGATAGTACAAGGGGATCTCTCCTTGGTATTTCAGTCCTGTGTATATCATGCTTTAATCAAATTAGCCCCCCCTTTCCTCTGTTACTTATTCTCTATTACCATGCTCCTCTAATATTCAACAATGTCCTTTGCATTATATTGTATTCACATAGAGATGGGTCATTTCAGTATTTTTCATTTTCTAACACTTTCTTTACCTCTTCTGCCTCCCATAGTCCCCTCAACAGACTCCCTAATACAATTTTGTTCTCTCTCTCACTATGTACTTGTGTGTGTGTGTGTGTGTGTGTGTGTGTGTTTATGATCATTTATGATAGGTCTAGCTTCTGTGCATGAGGGAAAACATGGACTTTTAACTTTTTGAGCCTGACTTACTTCACTTAACATGAAGTTCTCCAATTCCATCCATTTACCTGCAAATACACACAATTTCATTTGTCTTTATGGCTGAATAAAACTCCATTGTGTATATATACTATATTTTTTAATCCATTCATCAGTCATGGGGCAGCTGGAATGCTTCCAAAGATTGGCTATTGTGAAGGTGGTTCTATCATATCCT